AAGCCACTCCTTCGTTGCCCGGGTGGTATGTTTGGGATCATTGTCATGTTGAAAGACCCAGCCACGTTTCATCTTCAATGCCCTTGCTGATGGAAGGAGGTTTGCACTCAAAATCTCATGATACATGGCCCCATTCATTCTGTCCTGTACACGGATCAGTTGTCCTGGTTGCTTTGCAGAGAAACAGCACCAAAGCATGATGTTGCCACCCCCATGCTTCACAGTAGGTATGGTGTTCTTTGGATGCAACTCAGCATTCTCTCTCCTCCAAACACGACGAGTTGTGTTTCTACCAAATAGTTCTATTTTGGTTTCATCTGACCATATGACATTCTCCCAATCCTCTTCTGGATCATCCAAATGCTCTCTAGCAAACTTCAGATGGGCCCGGACATGTACTGGCTTAAGCAGGGGGACACGTCTGGCACTGCAGGATCTGAGTCCCTGGTGGCGTAGTGTGTTACTGATGGTAGCCTTTTTTTACATTGGTCCCAGCTCTCTGCAGGTCATTCACTAGGTCCCCCCGTGTGGTCCTGGGATTTTTGCTCACCGTTCTTGTGATCATTTTGACCCCACGGGGTGAGATCTTGCGTGGAGCCCCAGATCGAGGGAGATTATCAGTGGTCTTGTATGTCTTCCATTTTCTAATTATTGCTCCCACAGTTGATTTGTTCACACCAAGCTGCTTGCCTATTGCAGATTCAGTCTTCCCAGCCTGGTGCAGGTCTACAATTTTGTTTCTGGTGTCCTTCGACAGCTCTTTGGTCTTCACCATAGTGGAGTTTGGAGTGTGACTGTTTGAGGTTGTGGACAGGTGTCTTTTATACTGATAACAAGTTCAAACAGGTGCCATTGATACAGGTAATGAGTGCAGGACAGAGGAGCCTCTTAAAGAAGAAGGTACAGGTCTGTGAGAGCCAGAACTCTTGCTTGTTTGTAGGTGACCAAATACTTATTTTCCACCATAATTTGCAAATAAATTTGTTCCAAATCAGCCAATGTGATTTGTCTGGATTTGTTTTCTCATTTTGTCTCTCATAGTTGAGGTCTACCTATGATGCCAATTACAGGCCTCTCTCATCTTTTTAAGTGGGAGAACTTGCACAATTGGTGGCTGACTAAATACTTTTTTGCCCCACTGTGTGTATGTATGTATGTATATATAAATATTAGGGATGCACCGATACCGAGTATTTGCATGAGTACTCGTGCAAATACTCCAATACATAAAACGAGTACCTGTGCCGCGTCCGCCATCTTCAGGGACCCGAATCCGCCGCACACAGGACCTCCATCGCGTCTTCAATGAAGCAAGATGGGCGCAACCACCTGTCATCTGACCTCTTCTCCCGCTGATTGGATGATTGACAGGCTTCCTCACCAGTCAGGAGTGACTGGTGAGGAAGCCTGTCATCATCCAATCGGCCAATCAGCGGGAGAAGAGGTCAGAATGGAGCAGATGACTAGGCTGTGACACGGAGTGGCTGAAGCAGACGGAGACGGAGAAGACGACACAGCAGGTTAGTACTGCCGCACCTCATGGGGCTGGGCACAAAACTGCTATTTACCGGCATATATCATTTAAAAAAAAGAAAATAACTATGTACTATGTAGACTAACTAAGGCTTGTATCCCCCTAGTGGTGAAAATAGATGAGCACATGTCTAGACTGCAGACCAGAACAGTGTGGCACAGCTATATGCAATTCTGCATACCTGGCTTTATATTATAAGAAAATTTAATAATAATATAAAGCCAGTTATACAGAATTTGATACAGCTGTGCCACACTATACACTGTGTTCTGGACACGTTCTCATCTATTTTCCCCACTATGGGGATACAAGCCTTAGTTAGCAATGGCATGATAAATATTCATTTCATTATTCAATGTCTTTTTTTTAAATATTATAAAATGTTATAATATTAAAAAAAAGACATTGAATAATGAAATGAATATTTATCATGCCATTGCTAACTAAGGCTTGTATCCCCATAGTGGGGAAAATAGATGATAGGAAAAAAGGGGCAAAAACCCAGAGAACCAGACCCAAAATTAATTAGCCCCTTAATTGGGTATATTAATTATTTGATGACTCTCAAAAGAGAGAACAACCCCCAGCTGCTTAAACTAGACTCAAGAAAAAGAAGTGAGATGATCTGAGGGGATCAGCTCAAAGTACAGCTAGTAAGGAGGGTCGGAGACTCAAAATATGATAGAAAATATTATACATTTATTATTTAAAATCTCAATGGACATACTAAATGCACCAGTTAACACCAACACCAGTTCAACATCTAAAATTGGTTATTGCAACAACCCATTCACTCATAAAACACAGAAATGCACTCTGAGGATGAGCTGATCAGCATAATAAATGGTACCGGATTAAACTCAAAAATGTTTGAGGGATTAATTTATATAATTATATATAAATTACATGCACAGCCACCCGTTTTAGTTTCTGTGGCTTCTGCCTAAAAAGAAATAAAAAAGAAATAGGGGTTGTTTAACAACTTAAAGTGACAAAGTCCCAAAAAATTCCCTCCCCCCCCAATGTTAATGTTGGCACTTACCTCATAGTTCTCCTTTAAGGTGAGTGCTTTTCACTCGCCTCATAGTTCTAGCCGACCTGTGACAATGAGACTGCCACAGGTCGGCTCAGTAGATCGGGCGGTGAGCGAACACATACCGGCGTTCGCTCACCTCTCGATCCTGTCACGGCTCTCTGCCGGGACAGGGGAGGGGCGGGATTCCCCGATCCGCCAGCGCTGACTGGCGGAACGGATGGGGAGGGGGCGGGTACAACTGGCTCTGCCTCTAGATAGGCAGAGTCAGCTGTCAGTCACGCAGCTGGGCGGATCCCGGCACAATTGTCAGGATCCGCTGCGGCATCTAAGTATACCGCCAGCAGCAGCTTGCGCTATACTGAGCCTAGGGTGACGGGAGGACGCTAGTTTGTGTCCTCCCGTTACCCTAAGGAGAACTATGGGGAAAAGGCTTTACCCCCAATTGTTCACCTTTTAAATGAGGCATCTTAATCCGATCTTCCTTTTTCTTTCCTGATGTTTTCATCTGTCTGATCCAGCGCTGACTCCTCTCTGCTCGCTGGCACTTCCGATCCAGCGCTGTCTACATGCTGGTGCACGCGTCCCCAGACTTACCTTGCCTTGTGTCTCTGCTCATCTCCCGCCAGAAAATCCGAACTGCGCCCGCCCCAAGATGCTTTGCGGCCGCCCGAGCAGATTCGGATTCTCGGGCGGGAGCGCGCGACGAAAACGGTAAGTTTAAACCGATGTTAAAGCTTTTTTTTTTTACTTTTTGCCTATACTTGCTAGCAGTAGATATAGGCAAAAAAACCGGAGGGTTTAGAAACCCTTTCAGTCTAATATAAAAGATGCAGTCCTGCTGTAGCAGCCATAATCTTGGTACCATTTTTTGTATATGGCCATAACTAGGGATGTCCCGATACCAGGCATTTGAAAATGCCCCTATTCTTAAGGCCGATGCCGACCCTTTCACTGCCAAGCCGTCTTAACGCTTTTAACCTCAGCTCGCCACACCATTTTTGCGATTTTTTTTTTTTCCCCCTGTAGAGCTGCAACAAATATTCGATTTTAGTCGATTTAAATTGACGATGGAAAACGTCAACGTTTTCCATCGTCTAGTAGTCGGCTATCAATTAGATACCCTGTTCGTGGCTCCAAAGTCGCACACAAGCCGCACACGCCGAGAACTCTGCTCCTCTCCTCACCGTAAGCTTCCTGACTCAAAAATGGACGTCGCTGTTTCTCTGGGTCACTGTCAATTTTAGCCCCAGCTGTGGAGGTGGAAGGAGCTGAGAGGGAGCGCAGGTACAGTAAGTATATGGGGGACGGGGGGGCAGCTCAGGTAATTGGGAAACCAATATTGTCACTTGTACGGGCACTGCAATACAAAGCAAGTCAAACTAGAAAAAAGTGGTACATGCATGAATCTATAACCAGCCTTTATAGCAGGGAGCACATTGGGAAGGCTTACAACAATACGAAACACAAATTCCCCAGCCTCAACATGCCAGCCAGCCTGCAACAAACAAGTAGCCCTGTCAACAGTATGCGTTAAAATCAGAGGTTTTAGTATAATACAAAGCAAGTCACTTGTACGGGCACTCCAATACAAAGCAAGTCACTTGTATGGGCACTGCAATACAAAGCAAGCCACTTGTATGGGCACTGCAAAACAAAGCAAGCCACTTGGGATGGTTATAACTCTCTGCATGTTGTACTGTCAGCCAGGGGACGTCAGGATAAAAATATTTTCTGTGGAATTCCTCTCCTCCATTGCCTTGTGTTCCACAAAACCTGGAGCAGTAATGAGACATCAGGGCGATGCGAATATTTAACTCTTTTATTCTGTAACAAACAGCGCCATGTAGATAATCAGAGTTTCCTGTAGAAATCAACCCAAACCAGAATCTCTCACTTCTGTATACTCATCACAATGCAGCACAT